TAACGTGGAAATTTCTGGGATACCACTCTTAAAAGGCGAAAATTTAAATAATATTATACATAATATCGCTACAAAGGTCGGTTTTACATTATTGCCAACAGATATTGATTATATTCACCGTGTCCGACGTTTCAACTCGACGAGGAACGAAATCCCCAGAAAACACGATAGCAGTACCTCTCAAGACTCATCTTCCATACCGAACATTATCATCAGATTCTCACAAAGGTATCGCAAGAACGAATTGCTGAGTGCCGTGCGCGCGCGACGAGGATTAACAACTGCTGACGCAGGTCTAAGCGGGCCCACCGGTCCCATCTACGTCAATGACCACCTCGCGCCGCACAACAAACAATTATACAAACAAACACGCCTTCTTGCCAAACAGAAAGAATACAAATACGTGTGGTTGTCTGACTGTAAGATTTTATTGCGTAAAAATGATACGTCTAAAGTTCAACTTATATCATGCCATGCGGATCTAAGTAAAATTAAATGACTATATGTCGTTATCTATTTTAATGTCTTGAAAGGAATTTTTTTTTGTTACAAATACTTATATACTAAGACAACATTACCTATTAAAAAGTGTTGTAAAATATATTTCTCACGAAACTTTAAATACTGTTATTGCTGTCTTCTATTATTTGTGAATGTTAGTGGAACCCATAATATTTCATTCTGTGATATCACTTTGCCGTATATTCTATATAGTGGTTTATAAAAATAACTTGTCTATTTACTACCAAAACGTGAGAGGATTACGCACAAAATCACACGATTTTCTAAAGAATGTTCTGTGTAACAATTATGATGTGGTATGTGTCACTGAATCATGGCTTAATAGTAATTTTTATGACAGTGAATACTTCGACAGTCGATACGAGGTTTACCGATGTGATCGGAACGTTACGGTTAGCGGTCGCGGGATGGGTGGCGGCGTACTGATCGCAGTGCGGCGCAGCCTATGCCCGTCGCAGCTCCTTCACGAGTGCTCGCCGATGCAGACAGAAGAGGTTTGGTTATCTATCCCATTAATTGAAACATTGTCGCATGCGGGCTGCGTGACGTCATCGCACGAGTCTAATACTCGATCGCCGGCCCAGCGCCGCTTACATATTATAGCAACTTATATACCCCACGGTTGTAACCACGAATCACAATTGACATCGTTCTATAACAGAGTAAGCGATTTTATAATCTCAAATCCCGACGATACTTATCTAATACTGGGCGACTTACGCTGACTGGTATTTTAATTCTTATAGTGATTGCATGGAAATACGTACAAACATTAGTAGTCTCGCATGTCTTACTACCGATTTTATGAATATATCGTCACTATTACAATGCAACAATCAATTTAATATTAATAATAGATTATTAGATTTAATTTTTAGTAATACAACATGTAATGTTATGCGTCCTGAATTTCCGTTAGTACCCGAAGACGTGCACCACAAATCCCTAGAAATTAGTTTGAATTTAAAATCCCCCGCCCCATTACCCTCCGCCAAAATTAAGAAAAAAAACTTTCATAATGCTGACTTTGGCTTGATAAAAACTGGACTTAACACTGTTAACTGGGAGGAAGTTTTTAATACCATGACGGATATTGATTCAATGACGAGTTATTTTTATAAAATTTTAAACAATTTGATAGACACATATGTACCTACTCAAAACCTTTGTAGCGCAAACAAACGCCCGCCGTGGTTTACTTCTTGTCTCATAAAACTAGAAAAGGAAAAGCTTAAATATCATAAGAAATGGAAACTTTATAACAACTTACGAGACTACCAGACCTTCTCTTGTCTTCGGAAGAGGTTTAAGAGGATGGAGGCAGAATGTTACAAAAAATTCATTGAACTTTCTGAGGATAATATCAAAGCCTGTCCAAAGTTATTTTGGTCTTTCGTAAAGTCAAAAAAAGCTTCAAGTTGCATTCCTGAAAAAATGATATATAAAGACAAAATTATTTCCACTGGCCGTGAAATATGCGAGGCTTTTAATGATTATTTTCATTCAGTTTTCATCCCTTCTACCCGTCAAAGTTCTGATAATACTATTTCTTACTCAGGCAGTTCACCCGTAGATATACATTCTATTAACATCTACCACGATAATGTTATCAAAGAACTGAAACAAGTAAATATTCATAAAGGTGCAGGGCCCGACGGGATCCATCCTCTTCTCATATCCGAATGTGCCGAAGAACTTGCAACACCCATTACAATCATATTTCGTTTCTCTGTCCAAACTGGGACATTTCCCCTTTTATGGAAAGAGTCTTTAGTAACCCCCATTCCAAAAAATAAAAGACGTGAATGTATAGACGAATACAGACCTATATCGAAACTTTGTATCTTTGGCAAAATCCTAGAAAAGATAGTAACCGCTCAAATGTCGTACTCTTTCCGTAATCACATTTCCCAGGAACAACACGGTTTCTTTAAGTGCCGTAGCGTTGACACCAATATGTTAACTTTTAATGACTTTCTGTTGCATGCCATGGATGATAACCTACAGGTGGACGCCGTGTACACCGACTTTTCCAAAGCTTTCGATAAAATAAATCACGATCTGCTAATAAAGAAGCTTGCAAGGGCCGGTGTGCATGGCAGCCTTCTCAGATGGATCCAATCCTACATAAGTAATAGGAGTCAAGCAGTCTTTGTAAAGGGTTATTCGTCACGATTTCTTCCAGTCCCTTCGGGTGTACCTCAAGGGTCTCATATTGGGCCTTTACTGTTTTCAGTCTATATAAATGACATTGGCAATGTCCTGAAACATAGTCACCATCTCTTGTATGCTGATGACACTAAGTTGTATCGAATCATCAGATCAATTACTGACTGCCACAAACTCCAAGAAGACTTACACCGATTACATGCATACTGTGAGTTTAACCATCTGTTTCTAAACAGCGATAAATGCTACATAATATCGTATACTCGCAAAAAAAATCCCGTTACTTTCGACTACCACATAAATCAGAAGGTCTTAAATAGAGTAACCACAATCAGGGACTTAGGTATAATCATGGATTCGACCTTATCATTTATTCCACATATTGAGCACATATTAGCTTCGGCTTTTAAAAATCTAGGTTTTATACTACGAATAAGTAAACCTTTTAAACGTCCCGAAACTCTAAAAATTTTATACTTCTCTTTTGTCAGATCTTTCCTTGATTTTTGCAGCACTGTTTGGAGCCCTTGTTATGTAGTTCATATTAGGAGAATAGAAAGAGTTCAAAAATTGTTTATTAAATCCCTAAATTATCGCCAAAATATTTTAAACCAGTCATACACCGATTCACTAAAAAAATACAATTTACTTTCTCTTTGCAATAGGCGTAAAATGTTCGACATAGTATTTCTATACAAAATCATTAATAACCTAGTCGACTCCTCGTTGTTACTTAGCAGATTGTCATTTGTTTCCCGAGTCCGTCTGCCTGTGCGCCCCTCACGTCCAAAACCACTTTTCGTAACTCCCCCGATATCATAAAAATTATACGCGAAACTCATTTGTGTATCGTTCCACTAACACTTACAATAAAAAATTCACAGATATTGATTTATTTAATACATCAATATCAAAGCTTAAATCTGCTCTCTTTCAAAGTTTGGCTTGTTAATAATCTATTTACCCTTCACTGAAAATGTGGCAGCACTCAATTCGCTAATTGAATCTGAACTAAATTTGTCAGTGTTATAATAACCATATTTTTAACATAGGTTTTTTTCTCTTTCTTTTTCTTAATTGCACACGAAATGTTAACTAGATACCTCATATTAGAACTTAGTGTATTAATAAATAAATAAATTTATAATGTACTTTAGTCCTAAAAGTAGCTCAATAAGTTTAAAATATGGTAAAAGTTTAGTTACAGGCACTATAGGTCTTTAGTTGTATTATTATTTATCCATGTTACTATCTATTTACATGACTGTTTGTTGCCTTGAATAAATTAAAAAAAAAAAAATAGCAGTTTAATACTGCTGTGTTTCGTATGGTGAGTGTAGAGATCTTGAGACCTTTTTTTACTGGAAACGAGGCATTCGATCCTAGTCTTCAGAAGTGACAACGCATCTGAATTTTGATTCTAAATCTAGGATAAATGTAGATGTCTATGGAATACAGCATCCACTAACCATCAGGTGGACTGTCTGTTCGATTGTCACCCTTATTCTATTAAAAAAATAACGGTTAGTAAAGCACTACAGAGTAGCGAAAAGCAATGTAGAATATTTACTTTATCACAAAAACAATGTTTATTTGCCTATATGTAACATAGGTAGACTACTAGGTAGTACACTAGGAGAGCTTTTGGCCGTCGACGGATTGTTGGACAATTTGTCGCCCCTCTTTTGTTACTTGAATAATGGTTTAAATTAGATTTTCATTCGTAAAAGTGATGCGATTTTGTGAATTGTCTGCGCGTGTTAACTATTAGAGAAAACGACGAAACAAGTGGTTTGATGTTGATATAATCTCCCAAAAACTGTGACGCAAAAAGTGACACATCAGCATACTGTGATGAAAAAAATATACAAAAACGAAGATTACGAAAGAAATGATAGGCTCAGAAGGTCTAGAACCCAAAGCCATAAAGCCAGTTACATAAAAAAATTTAACACTAGTTCATAATATTATATATTAGTCTATGGTCTATGTAGATAACCTTAAAAATTAAAACTGGTTTAACTTTTATCTCCCAAGTTCTAAAAATCTAAGAATTTAAAAGGGGTTTGTCTATCCTACTATCTACCGATTAAAACCAAAAATATCCCAAAACACGAAATTTTATTAGCGGTACGAAACTCCCATACAAGCCCGCCATTCCCCTTTGGTTATATATGTCCATAAAAATATTTCACTAGCAAGAAGGTAGAAAATAAAAAAAAAATTAAAAAAAAACCTACTACACGTTGTTTAGACTGTTCATGTTCCGAATAAGTAAAGCCTGGTTAAAGTCATCCTTTGGCAAATACATGCCAAAGGATTTGCGTACCCAAACACATTTGTATCACAATTCTCTTTTCTTTTTACGAGTACGTGCGGCAGCATGCAGGGATATATTACTGGCTGAAAGATGTTCTGCAGCAAAAACGGGAGTACTTAGTCCTGCAAAGCAGAAGTGTGAAGTGCTAAGCTTCTTGGACAACGGCCAACAGCGCGTCACGCTGCCGCTACGCAGCTTCACTACCACTGTGTGGGCTCAATCTGTCTCTGGGTTGAGCTTTGCGACCCTTGTCACATGCAGTACGTCTTCCACCAAGAGTTCATCGTCAGCAGACTTAGCTACTTGGGTATAACATTAACTAAATTTTCAGATTTATAGATCAGTTAGTCTCTCAGGACATTCTGCTTATAGTATAATATACATTAAAGTTATTTTTTAATTTTGTGAATATTTCTAAGCGGCCCACGATTTAACTCAATTAACCAATGACTTCGTTAATGTAAGCAGTATAGCTTGATGTAAAAATAGCTGTAACTTGTAGACTGGTTTGAACTACAACTACTAATGATTTAATGATTTCTTAAATTTACGCGAACACTACACATTGAATAAAACTAAATTTACGGAATTTATCGCGTTTATTTCACTACTTTTACTTATTTTTAATTCCCGACGTTTCGAGTGCTTTACACGAGAAACAGCAAAATACAATGAATGCAAAAATAAACAAATAGAAAAATACCAAAAATTAACGATCAAATCAAATGCCAACCATCTAAGTTAACGTCAGAACGAAACACAACCGTTGACCACAGACGCAAACAATAAACAACGCACGGTATAATCTGTCAAAACATACACTGGACGAACCAACAAAAAAGGTATTAGAGAAGGGAATGAACTTCGCATTAACACCGCGAAAAATCCCGTACGAAAAAATTATCTGAAGTGTTGAGGATTGTCTGTTTAAAAATAATATTGGTAAGGAAGATTTGGAGGCTATACGTCAAGATATTTCGTCCTTGTTACGTCGTAGTTCAGTGCCGAAACCAAACCTTCCTAAAGACGAATTTACAGCGTTGATTAACTTACGGAACAGACCAGAACTAACGATTCTCCGCGCGGATAATGGAAATGCTACGGTAATAATGGACACGTCAGAGTATAATTTTAAAATACTACAGCTTTTATCGGACGAAAGTATATACAAAAAGGTCAAAACAGACCCCACAACTAACACGCTTAAAGCAACTAGCGATTTAATAAAGAAACACTCCGAAAAATTAAATCTCGACGTGAATTCGCTAATACCATCATGTACCAAACCACCGAGTTTGTATGGGTTACCAATTATACACAAACCAAACGCTCCACTACGTCCTATAGTGAGCCAGATCGATTCACCAACTTATAAGCTGGCACAACACTTGGCAACAATATTGTCACCACTTAGAGGATATACCAGAGCACACACAAAGGATTCATACCATTTTGTTAGTGAGATAATAGACCTACATCTCGCTGACAATGAAACTATGGTCAGTTTTGATGTTCAGTCACTATTCACATGCCTACCTATTGAAGACTGCATATCAATTGTAACTAGGAAGCTAGAATATAATAACATGCCTGCTGAATATGCAGTATTACTCAAACACTGCCTCACATCTGGCTATCTATTGTGGAAGGAAGAGTTCTACAAGCAAGTAGATGGTGTGGCGATGGGCTCACCTGTATCTCCCATAGTCGAGTCGCCGACATATTCATGGATGACTTCGAGGAGAAAGCCCTTCTTACTGCTCCTGTAAATCCATGATTCTACAAGCGGTACGTAGACGACACTTTCACAATTTTACCATCTGAAAAAAGTAACTGCATTTTTAAACCACCTTAACTCTATAAACTCTAAAAGACAATTCACAATGGAGTTAGAGGCAAATAATTCTTTAGCTTTCTTAGATGTTTTAGTCATTCGAAATCCTAATAAGACACACTGTGTATAGGAAAAAGACCCACACCAACCGATATTTAAATGTTGAATCTCACCATCATCCTTCACAGTTAGCTACCGTGGGTGAATCTTTGTTTTAGAGAGCACAAGGGATCTGTTACAGAAAACATCTGGCTGCCGAGCTTCAGCACGTCAAGCAAGTATTGCAAGACAACAAGCTTCGGGTCCCGCGCCTACGTCACGGTGACCGAGTGAAGCCGGCCACAGGCGAGCGTGTACCTGCTGTACTACCATATGTCAGAGGAGTCACAGACAAAGTTGGCTACATCTTGAAGCGAGCATCCATTAAAACATACTACAAGCTGCCGAAGAAGATTAGTCAATATTTACCATCCGTCAAGTGTAATATCCCTCTACAAGATGCAGGAGTGTACAAGTTAGATTGTGAATGGGGTCTCTCTTACATAGGTCAAACAAAAAGATCCATAAAAACCCGCGTGAAAGAACATATAGCTGTCGTGAAGCACCGACGCTCCGTGAAGTCAGCAGTCTGCGAACATGTTCAAGATTGTCCCCACCATTATATTCGATTTGATAAACCACAAATCCTCGCAAAAAAACACCGATTCCTACCAAGGATGATACGCGAGGCTATTGAAATTAAAAAACATCCAAATTTCAATAGAGAAGATGAATGGGTGCTGCCACCTGCTTGGGATCCTATAATTAACAAAATTAAACCCAAACCTAAGCATACCACTGCAAGACTTCATGATACTATAAGCTCGTTTTGCGTAAATCGGACAAAAAATTAATATTCAAAAACTGAGGTAGCCTAACTATGACATTGGGACGTCAAACATCTCAGTCCCCCCCCCCCCGTGACCATGGTTGCTGTAAAGCAACCGAAACGTCGGGAATTAAAAATAAGTAAAAGTAGTGAAATAAACGCGATAAAATCCGTAAATTTAGTTTTATTTAATACTAATGATTTTTCACAACTAGCTCGATAGAGTTGAAGTAAACGCTTCTCTAGCGTAGGTTTATCTTCTCTCTGATTTTGTTTTCTTTTTTCGGAAAGGATATGTCTTTGGGCATGTTCCCTTTACAGATTCAGCTATCGAGAGCAACGATTCTGTATTACAAGGCATCCCGACCCCTGCTTTTGGAGTGAGCCTCCTCGAGTTAGGGGATGGCTCGATGGGATTCCAGCACATATGATTCATTCAGAAGAATGTACGAATTTCGACTTATCAAAATGTAACACACACAGTGTGTGTGTGTGTCGTGCGTGCGTGCGTGCGTGCGTGCTTGCGTGCGTGCGTGCGTGCGTGTGTGCGTGCGTGCGTGCGTGCGTGCGTGCGTGCGTGCGTGCGTGCGCGTGCGCGAGCGCGTGCGCGTGTGCGTGTGCGTGTGTGTAATAAATCGTTTTCAATGCTTTCATAACAATTAATTATGGAATTTGGCACGTTGCTACCCCAAAGGGCTAAGATAGAATGCTTCGTTACCAGTCAAATGATTTCCAGCGCTCTACCCGTACTACAAGAAACACAGTGCCACTAAGCTGCTATTTACGGTGGTATTCTGTGAGAGTGGTACTTCCCCGGTTAGGCAGACTCATTTGTGCTGCATCTTAACTTTGCCACGTTAAATACAGTAAGAGCTATAAATTTAATATTTTTATTAACTTAATGTTTATGTTAATTTGGATACAGATCGCGGTGTTGTGCCTGGTGGCTTGTGCGGCGGGCGGGAGCGTGCGCGAGAAGCGCGGCTTCCTCGGCGGGCTGCACTCCGTGGGCGGCGGCTACTCCGGCTACGGCGGTGTCTCTGCCTTAGGCGGCATCTCTGACATAGGCGGCTACTCCGCGCCCGCGGCTCAAGTGGTCTCCGTCAACAAGGTCGTCAACGTGCCCAGGGTTGTGAGCGTCCCACAAGTAGTCAGAGTAAACAAGGTCGTCTTCCGTGCCCCAAGTTGTGTCTGTTAACAGAGTAGTGGCTGCCCCCAGTTACTTTGTCGGTTACAACGGTGGATACGGCGGTGGATACGGTGGTGGATTCGGCGGCGGTTTAGGAAGCGGGTACGGATACTCTGCTGGTGGTTACTCCAGTGGCTGGTGGTAATCGCTGCGTACGACGGTTGTCTAGTCAATTGTACAAAGTGGTGTTTCAAAAATGTTAATGTTGATTGTAAAGTAAAATATAATATATTTTTATTTACTTTTGAATTATTATTTGACACAAGACGTTTGCGATTTTTCCAATAAATGAATATCGCTTAGAGAGATTTAGTAGTATTATAGTGCAAAAGTTTCCATTTGTTCCCTATAAAAACAATACTGTCCTTTTAACGTCGGAGATCATTATTTGAAATTATAAGTCTTTAATTTAATACATTTGTATCTCATAGAATATTATCAGGAGATATTGTAAAATATTTCAAAACTATTAATATTAAGAAATCAACAGATCTATGGGTGATATGCGGTAAAGTTATTGCGTCTAAAAAAGATACAATCGAAAAAAGTTTTGAGGTAACACACATAAACAAACATACAATAGAACTGAGAACCTCCTCCTTTATTTGAATGTGGTTGAAAATTATTATATTCTTTACATTCCTGTATTTTATTCATATTATATTTATTATTCTGGAGAATTAATTGTTCGACCAAACCATATTAATTTTCATACAATTGAAACGGCAAATAATTTACAGTTCACTTGATAATAGGTGACTACCGCAGACCAGGATACCTTTTTTTTTCATGGGGAAATGCCTATGCATACCCGCCTCGCGGGGTCTAGGGTAGGTTAAGTCGGACTCGCACTGACTAAAACCACATGGTGTTCCACCTTTGTCGGATATTGGCATGGCCACGGGAACGCTTTCGCATACAGCAAGTATATTGCCAGTGGCAGAAATAGATGAAAGTGATACAGTGATATTAAATGCGATTGTGACAGGGATGTAAGCCACTTTTCAAACTGGATTGTTTACGCCGATCTCAATGGACGACGATTTCAAACGTCGCCTTAAACCCGACGAATCATATGCTAGTCTTCTGTTCTTTCAATTTTTCAAAAGTCGCTGTGTACCTTGTTTATAACAAACTTGAGCACGGTCGACTGAGGGATGAAAAAGGTTATGTATCGCTCTTTGACGTCCAAAAAAACGTACCGTGAAAAATTTAATTGAACAGACTAGGCGAATAATGTATGAATATATTAGTGATGCAACAGAAGTGTTATATGCGAAGCAGAAACGGAAACAGATGTTAAAACATTTTTTGCAGAAACGGAAACAGAAACGGATACGGAAACTGAAATAATACTTATTAAAAAAATTACAAATTAAACTTTTATTTAACATTCAAAATTAAGTAGCGGTAAATTATATTTTAAGAAAAATAGTTCGGCTGCTTTTACACCTAACAATCTATTTCAGTGTTCTTCATATATGTAGAACAGATAAATAATTGCTAACTGGCGATGCTGCGTACCACCTGTACACCAAAGCTAAATAGGCACTGAAATTTGGGCAAACCCTTTAAAGAGCCACATTTAGGTTTAGCGAGTAGGTAATTTAGTACAGCTCTAGCACGAAAGTACGACGTAAATAAACTTTGAATCCAAAATACTCATTAAAGTTTCTTTAAAAATAATTAATATAAACTTAACTGCTACCTAATTAATTTGCAAGTCTAAGTTGTAACAAAGGCATTTATTAAAAACTATTTTAGCTGGAGAAAACACGTTTTAACTTAAATCTGGTTTTAACTATAACATAGGAATATATTTTATAAATAATAATAGGTATGCAATTCCTTGACTGACCATTTGTTTTTTAGTTTACGATGAAGGTTTTATAGTTTCAACAACTTCTCAAACTCTGCAAACTCTTCGGCGTTTAAGATGGCTCCTTAAAGCGATGGTTGTGCAGCCTTTTCGCGAGTATATTTTGTCACATAATTTACATCTAGCTGCTAAATCACCAATCTAAAAATAATAGTTCCAACAGTACAGGACTTGTTTTTGGCTTCATGATTACACTTAAATTACACACGACTTAAATTTCTAATTAACTAAAAATACAATAAATCTATTTATATGGATGCGTCGCTGAGTTCCGTTCAAAATTCCGTTATAAAACTGAAAAGAAGCAAGAGAACTTGAGTGGGAAACGACAGAGTTTGTGCATACTAGAAAATATCCTCCGTAACGTACATTAGATAGAGAAGTGTTTACGAGATTTTATACGAACATCGCATGAAAAGGATACCTTTGGTTGGGTACTTCACAACTCAGAAGAATATCTACGTGGAATGGTGTATAAACAGTAACGGTGGTGGTGTAAACAGTAACGTCTATTACTCAGATGGATAGACGAAGTCTACGGACTTCCATTTGACACACCTGTCTCGCCTCCTTTCCATCATCATACCTGCGCAAACATTTCAGTCGGTTAATGGTATTCTTAAGTGTCGTAATATGGTGACTAAATTTGAAGCAGGCTTATCTCGGCATGCTTAGGACATTATCACAGGTAGTGATCTCATAATCCAGAAATGAACCGCCAGGCGATGGTTTGGCTATTGGTTAAAAATGAACCAAAAGTGAATCGATTGAAAAACGCAGGAAAGTGCTTGATTGCTATTTTTTTCACATTGGGTGTCTGACATCAATTGTCCGAAATCGTAGTAGTGTAAATGCTGACCGGTATTCTTCTGCATTCGTACCGGATGTGTTTACTGCTATAAGAAACAAGTGCTGGTCTCCACGGGGGTTTTTTCTCTTTTGCATGGGAAAATTCCTACCATATCCGCCTCGCGGGGATAAGGACGGGATGTCGGACTCGCACTGACAAAATCCCCATGGTGTCCCGCTTCGTTGCATATTGACAGGGCTACGGGAACGCTTTCACACATATCCGCGGCGCCACCAGTGCCGGCTGCACTATGGCCATTTCTCCTTGGAAGAAGACTGCTCCTCCTCATCTTCTTCTCAGGTAAGGTGCACCAGAACTTATGGCGCACTTTCCTCCGTGGCCTCCAAATTTAACAGTGCAATGGATGCCCCTGTGTTCGATGCGCAAACGCCATGGGGCCAGGAAAAACGAGCACCAGCGGTGGATCTAGTCTATGGCTCTGCCGCCAACCAAAACTTGGCTGTGGAGGGTAGGGATAGCGGCGCCCGCAAGACCGAAACTACTCTCCCCCCGCAGCCCTACCATTACCACATCAACGGTGCGGTACCCCGTCAGAGTCGCGGAGGATAGTGCAAGTGGCGCAATGCCATACCAACACACCTCTTCCTCCGCGCCTCCAACTCGGCTGCAGCGATAGGGGAAGAGGACACCCCTCTCGTCGCAGCCCACCAACACACATCTGATATGGGGTCACCAAGTCCACTCGGAGTGGCCACCTCGGGCCGACTGTTGACCTCGGGCTAGCCATAAGGGTTCCTCTTATTCAGCGTAGGTGACCAAGCCACATCTACCAAGCCCCCTCGCCACGTCAAGGCCGGGAACCGTTCGGGGGTTCCGCGGGCTTCATAATCAACGGTTTTTCTAAACACCACACCGGTTAACCTTTTTTTATAGATTAAGGATGACAAATTTATTTACAGAGTACTTTCTACTGAACTTGAACTTTTTAATTTTAAGCTTACTAGCTTAAAATTGAAAAGTTTCATACACACTGTAACAACAACCTATTTCGCCATATTTCTCTTGAATTCTTAGTGAATAAAATAAAACAGTCATGGAAGTTAATACTAAATTAATTAAGTTTAGACAGAAAAAGGTCTTCAAACCTTGGGTTACGACTGGTCTTCTTGGATGTATTCGTCACCGTGATAAGCTATATAAGAGGGCCGGACATTTACCAAAGAGTATAAGTAATCAATTTTTTTATTGCCGATACCGTAATCACTGAATCGCACTTCTAAAAAGGGTTGAAAGAAATTATGAGAAAGAGCGAGTAAATATGGCTAAAAATAACAAAAAAAAAGCTGTGAGACGTACTTACCGACATTATAGGTAACATGAAAAACAAAGGGTTTTTACAGAGAACTTTTGAATATGTGAATAAAAATTTTTATACAGATTCTATGGTCACTGTGTATAACATACATATATATAACATATATATCTGTTATGCATAATCTAATAGCTTATTTAATAATGTTTCCATTGATATATGATTTTAATATACTTACTTAGTATATATATTATATACTTAGTACACTTGTTATATACTTACGAGTACTTAGTACTTCGGAAAGTGCTCGACAGATGCGCCATATTGGCCAAAATGACCCCGACATTCGAGTGGATATAGCATATAACAATTGTCATCATTTTGTCTAATTGTCACCTAGTGTTAATTGGCACATGTCATGATAGGTATATATACAATGTAGTATTATAATGTTATAATGTGACGTTAAGGAACTCATCTAAAGAATAATACGCTTTTTTATTTAGTATATATAAAAGTTTACGTTTATAAAGATTAATGTTGTCACAATCTCTAATGCACTTAGGTATTTTGTTATATACTTTTGGTGCCATTGGATATATACTCTTCTGTAATAAAACAGTTCAATTTGGTACTAAATGAAGCCGAAAAGGAACAACGGGGATTAAACGTTCGATTAAGAAACAGAAGGGAGGAATCGAGGCTTCTCTCGATCCGGCCTCCTATAACGCCTACGTTGGGTTCGGGAACAACGTATGTGATCTCCGCAACGGAGTAACACACCAGGGCGATAACCTCTTCCTTTTCAGCAAGTAGGTTCAGACGGGGATTACGGGTCTTCCGAAGTCGTCCCGGTCCCAACGCCTTAATTCTTCGATGTGGACTGTATAACTTGAGGGATGAATTTCTTGGGAATAAAACAGCAATTATCTTCAAACCATTCCGTGAGAGAGTAATCACTTTTCCCTATCACTTCCCTACACTTTTTCTTTCTTCTTCTTATTGAC